AAATGTTTCTTGAGCACCAAAGCAGCATATTTGAATGATTTGATGAAAATTCAGCTTTACCATCATAGGTATTAATTACATGTTAAAATATATTACAATTAATTAATACATTTTAATAATATTTCACAGTATAACTGTGTGACTGTAGTGTATTTTAGTTCAAATAAATGCAGCCTTTTAAAAAAATGTTACAGATTTTTACATTCACAAAGTTATATATATATATATATAGTTAGTAATAATCAGGAAAAAAAATGTCTTCCACCTAGGTAATAAAGTTCATTAATGTAAATGAGCATTTTGTTTTATCATGTTTCAGGGTCAGCCAGGACACAAAGGTGAAGCAGGGAGTCCAGGATTACCCGGCTTCCCAGGTCCAAAAGGGCCATCGGTGAGTGGAGATGTTGCTTTGGGACTTATGGGAATCTCAGTTTAATTAATAAAGTTAAGCTTTTATACTTGTACAAACAAGCCTTGTAGATATATAGAAGCTGAAAGCACTCAGTCCCAAGTGGATATGAAGGGTTTTTGCTATCTGCCTGTCTATATTTACACTTGTGTTTTCCCTCAGGGTCCGTCTGGTCCAATTGGCCCAGAGGGCAAACAAGTGAGTGATGATTCATTAATATTATATCAACACTTCTTCATAATTTTTTCAGCTAGCCATGTATTTTTGTTTTTATTTTTAGGGCATGTCAGGAAAACCAGGAGACAGAGGACAGAAGGGAGAAAAGGTATCTGTCCATCCATTAATCCACCTACATATGTGCCTCTCTAATCAAATCCAAACTTACTGTGTTGCTCGTTTTTGTAGGGTGATAATGGAATAAAAGGAGACAAAGGACCCGTTGGTGATCCGGGCATTCCGGGTAACCCTGGGCCTCCCGGCAGGAAGGGTCACACAGGAATGATGGGCATGTCGGGACCCCCAGGGGAAGTGGGTCCCTCTGGGCCCCCTGGTTCTCCAGGACAGCCGGGTCTCCCAGGTCTCAGAGTGAGTCTGCTTTAGTATTTTTAATGGAAAGTGTGTGACGCTAATGATAAGAGCATGACATCATTTCGACGTGTTTTAAGGGTGAGACGCCATCACTGGAACAAATGCGGCGGCTCATTCAAGAGGAACTCTCCAGACAGTTGGATGGTGAGATTCATTTGGCAAAGATGTTTTTGACTTCCTTTGCTGTGTCTTTTTACATTTCCTAAACTTTCCGTTGATTTTCACAGCTAAGTTAGCTTACCTCATGGCTCAAATGCAGCCTGCGCATATCAAGAGCTCAGTTGGCCGCCCCGGTCCACCTGGTCCAGGAGGTAAAGATGGACCTCCTGGCCGACAAGGTCCATCTGGAGAGCCTGGAATACCTGGACAAAATGGAGCAGAAGGACCCAGAGGTCCAGTTGGTCCTAAAGGTACCGCAAAACTAATTTCAGATTGTTACTTTACTTGATGTTTAACCTTTTAACCCCCACCCATACTTTCCTTTTTTTTTTTTTTTTTT